AGTCGCTTACACACACACCCCGCGCGCACCGTTATCCAGCGAGCGAGCGGCCGCCCTGCCCCAGCATCTGTAATCAGCCCCTGGCCCCCGGTACCTGAGCTGTCCCCCTCCTCGGACACGGACGAGCTCTCAGTTTCCTCCTCTTCCGAGGAGCTCCCCTCGTTCTCCCCATAATCCACCTCCATCTCATCGTGGTTGTTCTCCTTCTTCTCCCGGGAATGGACCGGCATCCTCCCCCGAGATGCCGCCGAGCGCCGGGACCGCCCTTCCCTCTGCCGCCACCACCGGCAGCTCCTCCCCCTGCCCGCCCCTCAGTAAAACCGCGCCATTCCCGCACGCCACACAACGCAACCCAAGTGCCTGCCGCATGGCTCTTCGCGCCGCTTATTGGTGCATATTGGCCCGAGTGGGCGTGTCCCCCGCCGAACGCAGTTGGTGTGGTTGGCCGTTGCGCGAAGCACTATGGTAATTGTAGTTAATCTGGAGAAGACTCGCTGTGGCTTCATGGACATGGATTAGATAGCGGAGTTGCCAGGCTGAGGCTTGTGAGCACTTTGAATTAGGGAATTTCCATCTTTCCATGGAATCTCCTTTGCAGCAAAGGTGCTGATTTAATTGAAAGACTTCTCGATTGTTACAGTTAATGAATTAGAGCTAGGAATATGCCAGCCCTCGGCTGGTTGCAGCTCTTGTCAGCCTTGGATGAAGACAGCGTGAAATGGTTGGGTTGGTTGACTGGCACTTGGGCAAATGATCATAGAGTATCAGAACCCTACATCCCCTTTTTTTCCCTCCACTCAAGATCCTCTCATCATCTCATCTGAAGAAGTGGGTTTTGCCCACAAAAGATCATTATACTATATATATATATATATAAACTTCAGTTTATTCAAACCGTAATTCTCCAAAATGCTTACAAGGAGTTTTTTGGTATTGTTTTGTCTTTTATCTGCAATTACTTAATTAAGTTTTACTTCAGATTAACTAATACATTTATACCTGAACTAGACAGATCACAAAAATTCATGGCATATCCTAGGCTGAGCCACGACATAAGATTAAATCTCTACAGCTTCAAATTTGGGGTTCAGATAAGAAATGATTGAATAATGGAGGTATCCAGGTGGTTTGTTCAAAACTGATAAACTCCTTGGGAAGGAAGCAGAAGCAGGTAGCAAGGATGGAGGTCAAAAACTAGAGAAGAGGGACACAGATGACTGAACCTTCAGAAGAAAAAACTTTGGGCAGATGAGAAGTAGGAACGGGCACCTAGGAGCTAGCTGTCTCTTCTCCCCACCCAAACTATGTTTTATATTTGCTCTTAAATAAAAGGTCCATATTTTTCCACAGATACATGCACACAACTTTTCAATGGTGAATAAGTTGCATTTCTGGGGATAAGGCCCAAGAGTTTCATTGGCTTCACTTCCGCTGAGACAATCAGTCTTGGACAAGCATTCAAGCTTCTAAATTAAATTATTAATTAATAATTAATAATAACTTGAAACTCACCTTCACCTATTTATCTTAAAGTGGAGTGCTCTGCTCTTTTATCCACATTAATCATTATGTATTTCACTGCTCTTTAAAATTGTTACCCACAACATTGTGAATTACATAATACCTTTCTATACATACCAGAGAAACTGAAGTAGACTTTCCTCCTCTACTTTAGAACACTAATAAGGCAAGATGTCAAAAGAGTTTTGTAACAATGGGATCCATGTAAGAATCCACAATACAACATTTCTCTATTAATTTCAGAGATTAATGTTTCCTTAAATGAGACTGGGATGTATTCAAAGATACTTTGTGAAGTGTTTAGCATCAGCTGGAGCAGGGGTTCTCACACAGAGAGTTCCAAATCACAACTGCAGATAGCTGGTGGGATGGGTAGTAAATAGGAAACCAAGGTTTAAGTATGTGACAGACTTACTAACCATTGTTTTATTAAACTGCAGCTAGAAAGACCTGTAATAGAGTGTAAATTATTACATTTATTAATGAGGCCCACAAGTACTAAAACACATTGATCATGGAAGGATGACAAGGAAAAGTAACAAACACTAAAGCAAAAAGAAAAAAAATCACCATCTTCTGACTCATGTAATACTTCTTGTCTTGTCTGTTTCTCCTTTGGATTAGTATGTACATCTATACAGCAGGGCTAAAGTCGAACTAAGCTACGCAACTTCAGCTACATCAATTACATAGCTTAAATCAAAATAGCTTAGCTCAACTTTAGGCGCTATCTACGCAGCAGGAAGTAGAAGGAAGAACATTGTTCCTTCAACTTCCTTTACTCCTTATAAAATGAGGTTTATTAGAGTTGAAGTAAGAAGTGCTCCAGCTCGACATTATTTCACAATAAAGGCTAATAGTGTAGATGTGCTCTTTGTTATTTTGGAATAATGTCAGTTATTCCGAACTAACACTGCTGTGTAGACATGCGCCAAGAGATGAGCCTATGTAGATATACATGTTTGGAAACTGAACACCTAGATACGTTGGAGGAGTCTGAAGTGCTGTTGAAACTAATCTCCCAATAATCAGACATTTTCCTATCCTGTTGTATTTAGATTGATGCATAATAAGCGATTCAATAATACAAAAAAAATGTTAAACTACCTTATCCTCTGTATTTGTGAACTGCCTAATGTAACTAAAAATAAACATAACAGACCTGGTCTAGACTTAGAAGTTTTCCCATCATAGTTATGTTAGTTAGGGGTGTAATTTTTGCCTACATAACTCAGCTGGTAAAAACCTTAGTACAGCTGTAGCTATACCAGCAAAGCTTCTAATTGCAGATAAAAAACAAGAGGGTTTTGCAATTTAACTAAGTTTAGTATACCTATGCAAGGGAAACCCTCCTAGCAAAGACAATGTTTAAATAAAATACTTTATTAATGGTTACAAAATACCATCAAATTACATTTTATTGCTTTGATATTTTATTGCTTTGAAATCTACTGCTTCTCTTTTCCCACCATAGAATCTTCAGAAAGCAGCTCATCCTCTCAGCCAGGAACATTCAACTGCTATGGAATCTAAAAACCTCATAATTGGGTTCTCTATTCCATTGTCAATCTTCTGTAACACATTCTTGCTTTTCAAATATCCTCCCTTATACATGTTGCTTTCCCTTCTCCCATGGCCTAATCCAAATTCAGCTAGTTCACCAGTCTACACCAGATAAGTAAAAGGCCATTATAGTATTGATCAAAGCCCAGGGGTGGGCAATAATTTTTCCCCGGGGGCCACTGCAAACGTTTTTGAATGTGGCCTAAATGGGAAGGGGCAGGGCTACCCAACCGCCAGACCATGATTGGTCTGGGGATGGAGGAGCCCCTTGCCCCCTCTTCCCACTAGGCACCCATGCCCTGGAAAAGGCTTGGCATGCTTTCCCACCCCTAGACCAATCAGGGCCTAGGGGCGGGAGAGCACAGGAAGCCTCCTCCCGCCCTGCTAGGAGCACATGACACTATGAAGTGCCCTGGGCTCCTCGCAAGGCTGGGCAGGGCGAAGGAAGCTTTATGCAGCTCCCACACCCCCCAGGCCCTGAGCCTGCGGGCGGCGGTGTGCACACCCTGCCCCCAGGCCCTGATTGGCCTGCGGGCGGCGGTGTGCACGAAGTCTCCTCTGCTCTCTCCCATCCCCCCTCTTCCGCCCCGTGAGCAGCATATAGCGCTACAAAGAGCCACATGCTTCTGGCAGGGCGGGAGGAGGCTTCATGCTCTCCCCCGCCCCCAGGCCAATTAAGGCCTGGGGGCGGGGATCACACAAAGTCTTCTCCGCTCTGCCCCTGCCGCACGCTGTTCGCAGGGCGGGGGCAGAGCGGAAAAGGCATCGGGCACTCCCCCATCTCAAATCCTTAATTGGCCTGGGGGCGGGGAAGCAGCAGAGCCTCCGCAGGCCAGATCCACCTGCTTGGTGGGCCAGATCTGGCCCCCAGAGGCCCTTTTGCCCAATCCTGTCAAAGACCATGTAAATTGAGCAATTAGTTGCCCATCCAAAAGGCTTGTTAACTGAAACATACCACAGTAATGCTCCAGGACACTACATCATACAAAAATGTTATTGCAGTGTTTTGGACTTCTACTACTAGTACTACTACTACTACTAATAATAATGTCATAATTATGGTTGAGAGAAGGACTAGTTAAACCACCTCAGTGGAAAGAACAAGCTTTGTGGCCTTGAAAAAAGATAGAAAATATGTCCATTGTCAATCTCAGAAAGTAGAAGAAATATACTTGTACATGTTAAGTTCTACAAAATTAAAAAGGAGCTTTTGTGATGTTTCCCAGTTTTATATGTACAATTGTAAAAACAGAACCAGAATGGAACATTGCTAGGTCATCTAATCCAGGCTTCTGCATTGAAGCAAGACGAAGTATTATTTAGGCCATCCCTGATAGGTGTTTGTCTAACAAGTGGTTCTCAATATGTGGCCCCTGCATCACTTGTAGCCTAATTACCACACCGTTCAGGCTCAGGTGACATCCTCATGGCCACATCTAGGGCAGGTCCCCTGGTCTCAGACCTGGAAGAGGCTATGTACACAAAAATGGGATGGTGCACGACTGGGCCCAACATTACCGCCCACCAGCAGCATCAGGGTCTGCAGCATCAGCAGGAGGCCAAAGCGTTCAGTACTCTGCCATCCCCCAGTATCACAGATCCAGTAACCTTGACTGGATCAGGCTCCTCAGCACTAGAGCTTGCTGCAGCCAAGGTAGGAGAACAGCATGTGCGAGAATAGGATGTAGTAGGCTTGGGATGCAGGATCTGTGGGAACGGGGCGGGGAGGAGGAGAGTGCAGAATGCTGGGACATGGGGTGGGGGTACAAGTAGCAAGGGCCATGTAGAAGGGTATGCAGCCTGTGCATAGGCACAGACTATAGGTGGGCCAACTGATTGTTAGGGGCAGTTCCTGGAGGGCTAGATACTGGGACACAGATGGTTCATAGAAGGAAGGTTGATTGCTGATGGGCAGTCTGAGTAAGGAAGGTCTGGGCACTAGGGAGCAATAGTTGGGGGGAAATCCTGGAGTGGGGGAGTGGATGCTGGAGGGGGCAGTCCCTGGGATGTGTGCCAGTTCAGTGCTGAGGGTGGGTGGTTCATGCTGGAGGGACAGTTCCAGGAGAAGTGGGTGATGTTTTTTTTTCCTGATTGGTGGGCATTCTGTGGAGTGATTGAGGGGCAATCACTGGGTGGAGAACAGGGGAACCAAGCCAGCAAGCTGCCATCATTGCAGACAGATTCTCCAGCCATGCTTGCTGGGTATTCAGTCTAGGCCAGTCATGCTGTCAGCAGCAAC